GTGTTCGTCTGAGAGAGATAGTGTTTCTATTTTGAAACTTATCACGATATATTCATAGGGATGTATCTGCTCAGTGCGGCCGATCACTTGTAAGTGCTCTTGAAGTAACTGCGGAATGCCACTCCTAAATATTATGCTAAAGCCTTTTGTAATACCATACAATCGTAAAGTAATAAAGGAGACTAAAGGCAAAATGGCCTAAGTGAAAAAAAAAAAAATAATAAAAAAATAATAAATTTTATATTATATAATAAATACAGTATAATATACTAATACTACAAATATAATTAAATATTATTGTATTTAAAAAATTAATTTATAAATATAAAATTTAATATTTTAAATACTATAGCAGCATTAAACCTAAGTGCTTATTTAATACAGTATATACTAACAAAATAACCAAATATATACTACTGTATATTATAAAAAAAAAAAAAATCAAAACTACATATTTTTTTAATAATTTTAAATTTTATTTTATAAATCTAAACTATCAAAAACTACAAATTAAACTTTGCTCTTACAAAAAGCATCAAAGTAAACTTTATAAACTTACTTTTAGAATAAACTTTTAAAGACTTCTTTTAGCAATAATGGTATTTTGTCGTTTGATTGGTCTTTTGTCACGTGTCTGATGAACAAGAGCAACCAGTCATATGAACTTCGAATACTCAAATTGACGTAACATCAAAAATATGCGATACAATGGAGTATATCATATTTATATTTTTGTTGCCATTCTTGAAGAATGCTTGGCATCTCTTCATCCAGATCGGTAACACGTTCATTATCAATCTGTTTTACACGTTTCGCAAAAATTGATTAGGCTATTATTATTCTCTAACTTCAACTTAACAAATTTATTAAGCAAACAAAAGTGCAGAATTAAAATTTATACAAACCATTTGTACGAGCTGCAATATAGCTCGTCCACCAAGCATAGCATCTTCATGATTATCTTTTATATCGATGTTAATAACATGCGCTGGCTTATTTCGCAACTCTCCTCTCTCTGTCATGTCTGTAACGATAATAAACATCAGTTACAAAATATATATATATATAAAATAAAATAATGCACCTTCACAAATGACATCATAACATCGCTCTTCGCAACTTATAATAACATCAAAACTATCTTTAGCATCGGTTGACCATTGTTCAGGGGCTAATTTAATTTTACGATTCCGATCTAGCATGTCTAAAAGACCATTTTGCTTATATCTTTTATAAATCCAATGGTGGAATAACAAAATCAATAGAACATATTAGGACAAAAGAATAAAAACGTATTCCTTAAAAGCTTCATACAGCTTAGGGTCTTTATTGTATAAATCTTGATACATTAAATCGTAAGGTGTTCCAAAGGGATATATGTTTGGCCTCTCAATACTAGGTCCTGGAAGGCGAACAGCAGATCCCGTACCATAAGAACTTACTTGGAACCCACATTTGCTTTTTTTTTTAAAAGGTAGAATAGTTAAAAATACATATGTATATTAGACCTTAGATTCTTAAATGTAATGGTAGCTTACGAGAGAACATGATGGGCTTCCATACTTCGGTTTTGATTACTTGCACATACAACTGCAAAAGTTTTCCCCATTTACAGAGAACTAATTATTACCGTTACATTTATCGTGTATATATCGATATCGATATCGTATTATTGCCCATCCCTACCCGTGACCTCATAGGCATATCCACCGATTTGATTGTTAGGGGTCTTTTTTCGATAAACTATTACACGAACTTTTGCCATTAAATGACGTGAATAACAAACGAAACATTCATTAAAAATGGTTTTTTAACTCTATATGAGATAAATAAGCAATAAATACTAAAAAAAACCCAGCTATTCTAAGCTTTAAAGAAAGCACTATTATTAGTTGTCGAAACGTTCGGGTATTTTCGGGTAGTGAACGATCGGTTGTATAATGGAGCATTAGGGTGTTCAAAATTTAATAGGTAAATCAAATCATAGTCGGGGTACATATTTCGGAAAATTAACTAACTTATTATTTTCTTTATTTATCGCATAACTGACGTTAACAACAGAAAATTTAACTTTCACTTATTACAGTATTATTTCCTTTATTAGCTTCTATTTCTCCAAACGTTGCTTGTTTTTCGTTACCTTGTTTTTCATTATCTCGTTCATTTAAGTTTCTTTTATTTTTTCTTTGTAATGCCAATTCTTCATTAGAGAAAGAAACTTGCTTGACACCTGAAAGACAAAGGTTAGCTTTTTTAGTTTCAATATTCATGTTCATATGACACTTAAGGTCATACTTATTGAACAAACACTCAAACTGTTGTTGATGAATAATTATATAATAAATTCAACATTTGACAAATTCATATAGTAGATGAAAAGTGTGAATCAGTTAATTAGAACTAGCAAAGTTAAGTAGCTTTTTCATAAATAATGGATCTTCTGTTGTTTGAAGCAAGCTGAAATTATTAGAATTAGATTGTTTAATATTTAATTCCAAAAGAGTTGTATAACACAACTCTTTAAACTAGAAACTTGATTTCATTGCCTTTTTAGTATTATATGTATATAACTTCTAGCAAACTTATGATCATATTTACTATCTAATTAACATACACTTAATGAAAGATAAAGCCACATACTTATTCACTTATTCAAAAAATTTATAGCTATATCAATACTAGCTTCTAAATTATTAAAAAAAATTTTAAAATCTTTTTATCAAAAATATCAATAGTATTGCATAATTCTTTATCAAAAAGTGAACAATATTGTCTCTAACTCTATATAAATTTCCTATCTAATTAACAATTGCATCAGGCATTTTGTGGCTCTGTGACTAGGTAAAAGTGGTGTTAGTTGACTATCATACTAAAAAATTCATGGTTCTTTATCAGAACAATTAAAAAATTCATCATTAGCTTATAAACTTGTTTTCTGAATTTTACAAGACATTCTACTTGTATTTTTAAAATTGGGTCTATAAGCTATTGTTAAAGAAGTTCTCAATTTGCAAGATAAGTTTTTAGTATTTTTTTTGTAATTTTAACTTATTTAAAAACCAAAAAGTAAAATCTTCTAAAAATTTTCTTCTTTCAACTAGTTGTCTTACCACCTGTAGTTTGTATAACCATAGTAGCTTAAAGGTTTTTAAAATTTAGTTAACTGAATACCAAATAACAAAATATAGATTAAAGATATATACTAATTTTATATTTATAGGATTGTCTTTGTTACTTTCAGTATAACTACGTATTATGCAATTTCCAAATAAGATAAAGTAAATTAAAAAGATGTTTTGAGTAGAAAATCCTTTTTTAACTTTAATTTTACAAATATAGTATTTTCAAAATTGATCATTATTATATAAACTGCATAAAGTTTATATGAAATTCAAAATGAATTCAATTTAATTTTTTTATTAAATAAAGTTACTGCACCATTTTTAGAACTAGATATATATATCATGTTATTAGTCATTCATGTTAAACACTTAGTTAAGTTTAATTAAAATCAATTACAAGAATCAATAAAAGTACAGGCAACTGGAATTTCAAAACATTAAGCTAAATCTTTAAATTCTACCAAAGTAACTTTTAGTTCGTTAGTAATAAGATCCCAATATATAAAATATATGATGAAAACCTTGCTATCTCTATGTGTTGATTTGTTGGCCATAATTTCAAAAGTAAACTATTTAGAATTTTTAACAATAGAGCACTATTGAATTAGATAAATATCTAATATGTCTTGATGCTACCCAACAAGTGTACTAACAGAAAACTATTTGTTGGCTTTTTATCTATTAACTATTCAATTACTTTTTTTGTATAAGCTATTGCAATTCGATATACCATTTTTCTAATTTCACAAATTTGCATAGCTATAGAAACAGCTTTAGCACTATACTGTTTTTTATTTTTCATAAGTTGACTTTGAATAGCTAATTTTAATTGTTTATTAGTTAGCTTATATATTTATAAGCTACAAAATGAATTAAAAAAAATCTTTTTTTATATATTTGTTTATATTTACCGACTTTACTATGCAGTAATTTATTGATTTTTTTGAAGTGATTAATTTTTTTTTGAATATTAGGATGGTATATCGATTTTTTAATAAAATTGCAAGCTTTTTTTTGTAAATGTTTAGAGAGAAAATTTGCCCAACTTTAGGTCCTTTTTTATATCTCATAAGTTTTAATAACAATATACTAAGTTTTAAATTATTATTATCTATTTTTTGTAATATTTAAAAATGTATTTTATGTTTGTAAATATTCTGGTTAATTAAGTTGTTTTTTAGCAAGTTTTTCAATTATATCTATAAATATCGCGAGAATTGAATCAGGCAAGTCAATTATGTGCTCTAAAAGTTTATTGATCTTTTGCTGCAAATATTATAAATATCAATTTCTTTAATTTCTATATTTAATAGCTGTGAACTTGTTAATATATTGATGCTATTATTTGCACTACTATCAACTTCTATATTTAATAATTGCAAACTTGTCAATATATTGTTACTGTTCTCATTTGTACTATTATTAATTCTCTTTTAGAAAATTGACATTAATTATGTATTTTTTTAAATAATGATGTCATTTGAATATTGTTTTGAATGCTGTTTTGGAATGTGGCATTGTTTTAATTTATAAATGCAAAAATTTTTTTAAACAACTACTAAAAGTACACTTTTTGAGTGAAGAATATAATTTTTTATATTATAATTTTTTTAATTGATAGTTTTTATTCTACTCTTTTTAACAATAATATCAGTTTTTTAAATTTAAATAGCTTTATATAAGTCAAATTTAGATAAAGCTTATTTACATTATTAAAGAATTTACTCTTATAAAATAGTGTAAATTGAAAAAATAGCTTTATTGCACTAAAGTATACAATTTTCTCTATCTTTTCAAAAAAAAAAATAACATTAATTAATATACTAGTTTAAGAGAAAAGTGTACTGAAAGTTGATATTATTTGTAGTAAATTTAGATTTTCATAAAAAATCTATTATATGCAACCCTAATTAATATTTGATTTACTAGTATTTTGAATACCCTAATAAAGCATAATGGAAATTGTGACCCAGGATTAATCTGTTCAATAAAAAATATAGAACCATCAGTTATATGAACTTAAAGAATTAGTTATATGATAATTGGCCAATCATATTTATTATACTTGTACTAGGTTGAGTTCAACAGGGCGGCCCCCAAAGTTCGGGTGATGATTGACATCACATCACATCATCACCGCAGCAGCCGCAGCACATATTCATCTTTCATTGAATGCGTACGAAACGTCGTAATCATATATTTTTTTTGAATTAGTGTTAGTTTTCCATTCAAATGGCCTTGGTTTATCATTTAAAGAACCAATTTTTTTTAGTTTTCACTCTCTGTTATTTATTAATAGGCTTCCATTTTTTTTAAAAAAAAAAAGAAAACGCGAAAAACTATTGTTACAGTACCGTGGCCTTCTTAACAGCAGTACTATAACAATGACACGGCTACAGGGATCCTTCACAGGTT